GCTGTACCAGTTTATACAGTCATTACGCTATGCGCTTGGCTAGCCACTGTCGCCATTTTTGTTTTTCACCCAAGTGTCATCGACATACAGTCACCTTTCCGTGCTTTCATGCCGGCAAAAATGCAGCACTCCATCTCGAATAGGATGCAGAACTCCATCTCGAAAAAAAACTGAACAAAAATGCAGAACTCCATCTCGAATAGGATCAGCCACTTGCATGTGCGTCTCCTCCGTAACATAATGCGGAATAAGTGCATAGTGCATACCAGCCGTCAGTACATTGTCACCGCGGCAGACAATATTCTTAGAGCGCTCCTGTTCCGGCAGCACGCTCGTAATTCTCTCGTATACAATATCCGTAAGAAACGCTGTGCGAAGAGCAGTCAATTCGCATTTCACAAAACGGAAATTTTCTGCATAAAAGCACGCCGAATCAAGAGACAATCGGCAATTCCGAATCGGATAAGGATGGAAAAGCCACCGTCCCCACTAATGCCGACAAATTCATCGAGATTCGCTTCTAATCTGAAAAGTTTGGCTTCATAAAATAGTGTGTTATTTGCCCCCTTTACAATGAAAAATCTCTTAAAAATTTGAGAGATTACAGCCGTTTAAGTCTCCGTTTAGCGTAACAATTTCGTTTGTTGGTCCTTATTCGTGGTCATATAACGCTTCGAAATTTGTAATGCCATTTCACTGACTTAGTTGTTGTTGGCAAAGACAACAAAATGTCAAACTCCAATGGATGTACGTAACCGGCAGGAAGATCGATGCAGTCCGGCAGATTGGTGGAAGACTCATCCACCAAATTGCCGGACTTCGGCAGAAAGGTGGGTGCGATTTCCAGCGTCAACCCATCTACCTTTCTGCCGGTTGCATGCGTCTAGTAATTCCGCCAAGAGTTTCGGTGAAACATCACTTCATTAATCAGCCCATATAGCGCAAAATCAAATGATTAACTCTTTGCTTTGCTAATATGTACTTTCGGCACTTTATAGCTTAATTTTTCACAGGAATTCATATTCTGTCAAATAAATTTAACGGTGCCCAGTCAATAGTCATGGACCGGGAGCCTGATACATCAACCTCACACGGCGGGACTGTTCTCCTTTGTTCCGATTTCTCTTCAGATCCGTGTAGTCATTTTACGCATTATTCCTGAAGGAGTGAAGAACGAGATTTAGCAGCCAACCGATAAAAATAAAGAATTAAATAGAATAAGTAGGTAGTGTTGGCTTTCGTATTGGCTTTTAGAATTAGTTACTGTACCAGTTTTCCGTAAGCTCAGTGCTACAAATTTCGTTTCGTTCCATGGCCCCTTGGCACCATACCTTACTGCGCCACTGGAGGCGCCGACCCGTTGACGTTAGGCCCCCCTCTACCATAATCTGAGTTTCGTTGTTTGTTGTCGTTACAATCCATATTTGTTGTCGTAAATTAAATTACAATCCATATTTGTTGTCGTTTCGCAGTTTCCATATTCACGGACCACAAGACGCGGTTAATGATTACATTGTGGAGACAACTCGTGCGCGTTGCATACGTACAAGACCAGTCTTACAGTGTTGTTTGGTTCGTAAACGTCTGTCGTGATTCGTAAGTTTGCAGACCGCTGCCGATTTCCGCAGTGATGTCTGAAGCACCAATGCAGTCCTCAAACTCCGAGAACCCCGGCACGGTGGCCAAGATTGGTGATTGTATCAAGCCCCTGTTGGTCTGTACAGAGATGAGCGATGTGCAGTTTGCGGTGGGACGTGATTTTGGCGCAGCGGAGATCTTTCCAGCTCACAGGTGAGATACGTGGGGATACTAACACCGGCGACGAATACGGTGTTTTGATCTATGACACCTTCCAACGAAACTTTACGGTTTTACCAAACTGTGTTGGCTATTCCGTTTTCCAATTGCCATGATTATTTTGACGAGTGACTTTATGCAGGTTGATCATGAGTGTCCGCAGTGCCGTGTTCCGGACCATGTTCTATGGAAGTGTGCCGGAGAACTGCACGGTTCCTATCAATATTCCGGACATTCTTGCTGCTGCTTTCGCTAATATGCTTAGGTGGGTCTGGTGCTTGACGTACCGTTATGTTGCGCTACATGTACAATAACAAAACTCTTCAGCTATATCTACACGGACGTGGTGACGAATTTCACCCAGACAACGTCTTCCACACGCTGAAGTGCGCTGACAAGTACGACTTGTCGTTGCTGGCAACGATGTGTACCGACTTTGTCATGGACACGCTCAACGTCAACAACTGCCTGCTTATTCTGGAAAACGCACTGAATGTAGGTCTTGGGTTATGCTACAACTAAGATATCTCTTGTTTATTGGGAATGAAAGTAATGTGTTGCCTAGGCGGTTCAGTACGCGGCTGCAGCGTCGAACATTCTGGAGAAGTGTCTGTGTCTGATTGACGAATCAACGAACACCGTCTTGGAATCGACGCATTTCGGTGCGATTGGACAAGAGGAGCTGCGCACCATTCTCCAACGGGATACACTGACCGCCAACGAAGACACCATTTGTTCGTCTGTTGATAAGTACAATGTTGTTGTCCTCTTCTATCTATATATCTGCGACTCCTTGTATTTGTGACTTTCATTTGCCTCGCTTTTCGGTAGGTTGGCTGCAGACATGTGCACGCAAAGGAACATCCAAGCGTCCGCCGCCAATCGTCGTCGAGTATTGGGTCAGGCGCGGTTTCTCATCCGTTTTCCACTACTGACCGATGCGCAGCTGCTGAATGGGCCCGTTTTGGTATGTAGTACATGTGTTGGGTGCGCACCGAACTCTACCCTAGGCACTGGGAGCCAAATTCGTGTGCTTGCACGAAAACTGTTAGTTTCGCGCACTCCCAAACACTTTTTGCTTTGTTTATCACATTCTGTAGCGACTTCGTAGGCCAGAAAAATTTGTGTACGAGCATCACTAACTGGAGTACTCGTACGCTAAAAGTACGAGTATTCCAGTTAGTGATGCGGTCAAAGGGTTTTAAATTCCGCACAGTCGTGATTTTCTGTTCTCACAATCAAATGCAGTTTTCCACTGGACTGCACGTCTCCTGAGACACCAAACACGTACTGCTAAAATATTTTCGCGTTATTTTGTGGTTGGTTTAGAGTGGATTGTTATCGCAATCGGAACTATTGGACATTTACCATTATAAGTACGCCGCTATCAAGCCGCCGCTGCCCTTCCGTACGGAACCCAGACAAAGTAAGGGCTTTTAGAGCTTATAAAAAACATGCACGCTGTGGAGAACTGGGAATTGTTTGACGCTTCTAGATGTACGCGCTGAGGGTGTTATTCGGTATACGATTCCGGATATTAGGCAGCTGCAGGAGACTCATACGTTCAGCGATCCCGTAACCATTAGAAAGCTACTGTGGTGAGATGGTCTCTGCAATAAAAAATTTGCAGCGTAGACGAGAATTTCACGTCATGGAGTCGTTCATCATAACACGAACTGCTGTGCAGGAGTATCGTCGTCTGCAAAAAAACCAGCGGTGACTCAGCCACTCTGGGCTTCTACCTGCGGTGTTCGGCCTGTCCCCAGTGGGTTTCTTGGACGTGCCAGGTCAATGCAGAGCTGCGCCTTCTGCCTTGGAAAACGGAAACTGCACCATTTCGTCGGCGTATGTGTTTTATTATGACACCAGACAACCCGGGATGTTGGCCAGTTTTTTGTACATTTTGTAGACATTTCCTCAATGTTTGGCAGGGATCATCGTTATTGGGGACGCGCGGAATATATCTCTATGGAGGTGAGGGTGAGCGGTCATTGTTCTGTGGGTGTGCGGGACAGATCAGTGTTTACCCGCTTGTTCAAGTGTATTTGTGTTTTGCAGGAATTACTGGATCCGGCGAAAGGCTACGTCAACCCTACCGACTTCTCCTTGAAGTTACAAATTCAAGTGACTGCTGGTCTGCCGGTTGGAACCGAATGAATGCACGTCGAAATGCGGGGATGGGTGCAGAAAATGTGGCACGAGTAAACGAGGAAGTGACAAAGTCTTCGGAATGGTTCAAATTTTTCTCTTGGATTCTGACTGATCAGTGAGGCAGCGAATTTGGATGTACAGATATCGGGAACAGCGATTAGCGTAAATACAGTAAAAATAAAAATGTCTCCGGAAAGCCCTCAGTTTATTCTGAAATGACCCATACCGTTTGTATGTTCAATAACAATTCTTGTTACTGGATTTTTAGTAAAACTGGGTTCGGATGAGTTTATGAGCTGATTGAAAGGATGTTTGTAAGTTGCGATAATAGATTCTTGAGTTTTTGAAAGAGTTATTTTGATTTTATGTCGGTACAGTACCGTCTGCAAATGTGCGCCGGATTTTGAATTATCAAGCTATCCGTTTTGTCAATCGAGTAAGCAACGCGGTGCGAATTTTGTAATTAGTAAACCGAACCATTATCTACGAAGGGATAGCAACAATGACAATGATAAAAATAATGATAAACGTAACGTCTTCGTCACTTAATTAGTGCGTGTAAAATTCGGATCGTCACAGCGCCGGCACAGTTCATACTTATTCGTGAATGGTGCTCGTCCGCAAGTATTATACAGCTGCAAAATGTTGCCTCCCGGAGGCCGCACGAGCTTCTAAATGTGGTCGTACTTGTATGTGGGCGAGAATTTTTTAAATTTACTCGTAGATTGTTTAACATATGGTTCAGGAAAACAGTTTCTGGTGTGCTAAATACTAGATTCATCGGGCACTGCATTGATGTTAGCTTTTTTTCTTTGGTTACAAATATTATGGTTATCAGTCATCACATACAGTACGAAGTGCCAGCACACATCTGGAACTTAATCCGCTATGTATACCGTATCCATATTATTCTTACTAAACTGTACAAGCAAAAATCATCGCAAGGTTTGAGAAGGAGTGCACTTTTCGCTTCTTCTTAGTCTGATGTACAAAGTACTTTGTACATAACCGTACGCTGCATAGAAATTATGCTGGCATTACGGACATACCGCAGCCATTACACTGTGTGCTTGGCTAACCCTTGTCGCCATTTTGTTTTTCACCCGGGCATCGTCAACATACAATCTCTTTTCCGTGCCTTCGTGTCGGCGAAAGTGAAACATAACTCCATCCCGAAAGGGATCAGCTACTTGCACGTGCGTCTCCTCCGCGACATAATGCGGAAAGTGTATGCCAGCCGCCAGGATATTCTCACCGCGACAGACATACTTAGAGCGCTCCTGTTCCGGCAGGACGCTGATTTCTCTCCGCACAGTATCCGTGTATAAAACGCTGTGCGAGACGCAGTCATCCACAGCGTTTCCAATGGAAAAATGCTGCATAAACGCACTTCGGATAATTAGACAATCGACAATTCCAAATCGGAGAAGACTCGAAAGGTCACCGTCTCCACTTATACCGACAAATTCATCGAGATCAGCTACAAATTTACAAAGGTCACTTTTACAGAAATTTTTAGAAAAACTAACCATACTAGCATTATACACTACTTGCGCTGTTCTACAGAGTACATTTAAACATTACGCTCTACTTGGCAAATTTGAAAAACATAATGTTGTACTGTTCAATATTATTCCCTTTATTCTTACCAAAAAGCGTATATTCCCAGTGACCTTTAGTCCGCTCCGCGCAGTCATTGACCGCCGACAGTTGTCCAAAATAGTTAACGGAATCACTGGACACTGCCAGTTCCCACGGAAGAATCGTCATTAGACGTTTATTCGCTGTCATATAATGCTTCAAAATTTTTAATGTCATTTTGCCAGCGCGGTTGTTGTAAAAGATAAAATGTCGTATTCCAATACGCGTATAGTACTCGATAAACTCCACCAAGAGTTTCGGTGAAACGTCACCCCAAAGAATCGGTCCACAAAGCGCAAACGATAACCGCTTTGTTTTGCGGCTGTTCTCTTTCGGTAATTGGTAGCTTAACTTTCCACAGGAATTCCTGTTCTTACAAACCAGGTCCACGGCGTCGATGGACCAAGCAGCTGGTGCTCGACACACCAATCGCACACTACGGAACCGTTCCCCGTTGTTATCGTATCGCGTATTCTGCACGCGAACAGTCGATCTGAAAAACGTCTTGAATCTGCATTCGCACGATGATCCGTTGACGAATGCGTCATTGCTCACATCCACAAGCGCAATAAAATGAATGTATTTTCCTTTGAAATGCGCGGAATATACGTGAATGGTGTCTAAAATCTGCATCCATGATGGAGATTCATAAGGTAGCGGCAATGTGTCCGATACGTTACACGAAGAAACGTTACCACTTCCGTTTAATTCGACAAACGTAGTGTTGTATCCGTCCTTGAATTCCCGCATGGTAGCCCGTGCATAACTACGCCTGTGTATCGATTTTGGAGCAACTTCGGGGCGCTCATCAAACTCCGTGTAATCATTTTGTGGAGTATTGCTAACGGATCGGAGAACGAGAAATAAACAGCTAACGGATAAGAGTAGAGGAATCCTTGAACTTCTAATACAGCGTAAAAGCTTTCTCCTCATAGTTATCGAAAACGCGATTATTAAAACAGTAAACGTATTGGCTGTGCCAAATGCTGACGCAGCATCACTTTTTATGAGCACTCTTCAAACAGTGAAAAGTATACAACGCAAAAATATGAAACATATGCGAAGTATTCTTGTACATAAAATCAGTGAGATTGCTGCGACAATTCAGGTGTGCTGCGGTGTGCTTCTCAGCGGTGAACGCCCTTTGCCCAAACTGATGGAGGAAAGCCGGTTTATTGTTATGTAGGTACAGTGAGTATCGCCTGCAGTTAAACACCTTGCAACTTTCATATACCTGCAAAGTTTTGGATTGGAATCACCACATATCAAGCCGGTTAGCGATGCAGTCAAAATCAGTCGTTTCCGTGCCGTTGCAGTATGTTGTGTTTTGATTAAAGGGTTCGACAGAAATCCATGTGTAAGCGCGCAGCAGTACGATGGTGGTTGTGCTTTGCTATCGCCGCTTTTATCATCTTCCGACTCTTTATCTACTCCGCGGTTAACCGACGCACACCGCGAGACAGCAGTTTTGTTTCCGATCAGAATAATTCGGTAAGAAAACACTGTGGTAAAGGGCTTCGGAACAATAACACCGTAATTGCTTAAGCAGCTCGCGATGGCTAACGAAACCAACGCAACGAACGATTTCTGGGCTACCAAAGAATCCGATTTGTTCCCGCCTTTACCGGACGGCGTGGCCGAGAAAGCCAAAGCCATTCGGATTGTTGAAGGCACTCAGGATGTGACGCTCAACAACCCCAACGAAAGCCTCGAAGTAATTTTGATATTAACATTGACCGTATTCGAACACAGCGCTGGCGATTTATGGGCATTGGATTGGTTTCTGTTGAGCGCTGTTTGTTAATTTTTATTAAGTTTCTTAACCGCGAACCGACCGCCCGATTCCCACCTTTACAGCCCTCCGTTGTATAACATTGGCGGTTTTAGGAACGCGAAGTATATTTTCGTCACTGCGATCCCGAAAACCCCGCCCACACGGCACTGCACATTTTGCTGCTACACGGCGCCAGTTTCTCCTCGGAAACCTGGCAAAATTTAGGGACACTGCAGTTGCTAGCGGCGCTGGGATATAGCGCCACGGCCATCGATCTGCCGGGATTCGGCAAGACCCGCGGGAAACCACTGACCGGCGTGGCGGCCGCAGCATTGGTGTACCGGTTTGCCTTGACGCGGGAGATGCTCAAGAAGACCTTGGTGATTATTGCACCGTCCATGTCGGGTGGGTACGCGGTACCGTATCTCATGAACAATCCGTTCCGTCAACCGAATTCCGAGGATTTGGCTATGGTCTTCGTGTCGCCGGTGGGCACGGAGAACTATCTTGATGAGGAATATAAAGCCGTTCAGGTAAAATTTGAAAAATTACCACTTACGATCATCTAATAAAATTACAACGATTATACGACGATTATCTCGAAGTAAAACTGGAAGTGCTACACGACGTAAGGCGACGTATTATACAGCATCATCGTCAGCATGTACAGAAGTATCATATAGCAGCAACAGCATAAAGCGTCTCTTGTCAATTTGTATCAGGATGCCTTGCGTTCGCAGTCTGGTTTGCACCAAATTTTGTAAACCCTTTTCGGGTTAAAGGCAGCTTTCCATGAGGAAAACTCCCTGTGCGTATAAACATTAAACCTGTGCTCTCTTCGATTTAGAATACAAGTAGCGCTGCCGCAGCTGATGTAAATCGTAGTACTTAGGTACTCTGTAGACTGTATATAAATATACGCTGTTTGGTTAGCATAGGAAAAGCTACTAACTAATTGCTGTTAGTGTAGCTATAACTTTCCCATTAACAATATTTTATTGAACAGGTGCCGGTTCTGAACGTATACGGATCGCGCGATGAGGCATGGGGACAACGTGTCGCCCAGAAGTTCAATCTTTCTCGGCATGCAAAAAGCGTGGAACTCCCGGATGCCGGTCACGCGGCGTATATGAACCAGCCCGATCTCTGGCACCGCCTTCTTAGCGTCTTCCTGCGAAAGGTGAAGGTGTGGTATGGTGCACAGCATGCCATTAATCGGGAGCATAGCCAGAGTCCATCTTAATCCGAAAAGATTAGCACTGATACAAAAAGATTAGTGATGTTGTATAACCTGTTCGCTGATATTATTGTTCTACATTTATTAATAAATATTGATCATTTTAATTTGCTGTGCATAAATGAAAAATGTCTGAGCAAAAGAATGATGGTATTATGGTTTATTAAGGTGCAGTTTAAAACAATTTTAATCTATTCTACTTATTACAAAGAATGCAAAATTCAGTGGTCTGCTGTATTCCCGTTTCGAGACTCAGCGCGGAAGTAAAGACATAGAAAAGTATAATTCAATAATTTTTTGTAATCAACTTATGGTTAAGTAAACCATATCTATAAACATCAATGCACGTTTCGTACAAGAGTTTTTTTTTTCGTATTCTGCAACGTCATTATTATAATTTTACAAACTCATATGCTTTTTAGTAGTTTTTAATCGAACGATTTTTAGCTATTGTCAAATTTATTTACCTAACATGATGTCGTTTCAAGTGCAATGTTTTTTTCTTATTCTGAGATGCAGACATCCGATGAAAACTATTGTACATGTACATATCTGTAGATTCTGTACAAACACATAGACAGCAAAACACCGGTAAAGCGAAGACGGCTCAATTACACATTTGCAGGAATATTACATAACTTACGATTTTTTACATAAACAATGATAAGCATTTTCATTAACCGCAGCACACCAATTTATGCGGTAATAACTCATAGTCCACGCATCTCGTGTGTAATTTGTACTAATTAACATGCAGACTGCCACCGCGCGACGCATAATGTAACCAAAACTCACTGTGGTTTCGTAATAATCCACACCGCATTGTTCAGCCGTAGAAAAACTACCGTGTACTTTGTATTGCGGAGCGCGATTGTCCGCCAAAATTCCTCATGTAATTATATATGGAGTCGGTGTACAATAAACTGCAAATAACTTCATTAGACATTCTCCAGTGCAGCGCTGCTTTTTAATTAACCCGCGTCGCGTAATCAAGACGCATCCAGCGCCAAATCGTCGCTGACCTTATATGCACCTACAGATAGAGTCAAAGAGGTGCATTTAGCCACCGGCGACTTCATTTTCCTCACTCACTTTCACTCGACCTACATTTTATCTTCCACCATTGTTGGCTCGGACTGGATTAAATATACGAATGCGTGCTCCCGATTGGGGAGAATGGGATTGTTTTATTCAGCGTCTTGTTGTTGATTGAATATAACATACATACTCGTATATTGTGGAATACTCACATGCGCGGCGTTCGGTTGTGTTTGGGTACGGCTTGGATTTCACGACGAAGTTGGCAGTGATATAAGGTAAATGTTGCCGGTATCTTTTTGCAGTAAAACTAAATAAGAGCGTCAGTATGCTTTGATAATAAAAATCTGGCATTTTCGCGTTGGAAAATGAAACATGGATGCGCAATTGCGTTCAACGGGCACAATGCGATATGCACGTACCCGGAAAGAATGTTTCACCGCAATTATGCAACATATTGACAAATAAATTTACCGACATAATTCGCGAAGCAAGTTAGTTTTGGTGCAGAGTACAAATTAAGGTACTGCTATCATTTCAGAGTTTTCCTTACTTCTGTGCTATGATTTAACTCTGTCTAAAGCTTGCGAACAGTGTCCGTGTGAATGAAAATTCTGATGCAATTTTTTGTTTAAACGCTTAATTAAAATATTTGATACAGGGCACAAATTAATTACTCGTATACAGTCTTGTTTTGCGTGCGTTTTGAATACAACGTAGTAAATATTAACAAATAAATTAACGCCAGAAATACTAAAATGTTAAAAAAACGAATTTTAAATGTTGAAGTTTATAGTAATTTGCACGTCAGTGGCTCATATAATTTAAGTCAATTTATCATATCTTGAGGTTAATGTCTTGTTTTTCAAATGGGCTGAATCATTGTACGTACGTATTAACTACAAAATTAACGTCAATTATTTATTTCGTCATGCACGTGTTCTTGTCATTAGTAAATGTAATTCGTTGAAATTGACTATCCGATTATTCGGGAAGTATTGACACTCTTCCATTACGAGTATTTCTGGAAATTCCCGGAAAATCTTTACTGAGACAGCACAGCTGAGTGATATTTGTGACGATATGCTGTCTCGTCTTATAGGGCAGTAATATACCGCCGCAAGCGACCATCTTCCAGCCGAGGAAAACCCGGCATCTTAGAGCATCTTAAACAATCATCCACTTTCACTTCCGATTATCCCATTTTGCTGCGGCCGCGATCTGTGGTACATCATGTAAGAGAGCAACAAGGACGATTATCAACGTGACCACAATGCTAACACGCCGGCGTGTGTGTCAACATGTTGATTGCGCTTCCTTCACCGCCCACCCAAGACGCAGCAGCAGCGGCATAACACACGTTCCGGAATGCCAATTTTTATTGCCTAAATCCTTTTAACCGAGTCATCGTCATATCGCCAGTATAAAATAACCCTGTTCCGCCTCAGCAACGCCACCACTTACTCCATCCCCGTTTACATTTTCGGCCACCGGAAGTGCTTTCTATATATAGCACGCTCGGGCTTTGCGTATCATAATTTTTTCCCGGAATTTTTTTAAAAAATTTATAAAAATAATAATCTGAGTTAGCCGGTAATATTTACCATGGATAGTATATAAAATTAATTGCATCGTTAGTTAAATTGTCTTGTGTTAGCCGTGCTCGTCGGGGATGATGAATGTACAGATATCAGATAGGGCAAGCGTCTGGACAGTCATAACAGTGTGTTTGTTGGGTCATTTTATGCCGTCCTGCTCGGCCAGTTATGTCAACGAATGGCTGCTGGAAGTGCCGGGTGGGCCGAATATGGCCAAGGATGTCGGTGATCAGTATGGATTTCAGCTTATTAAACAGGTACTGAAAATGTAATATATACAAACAATAAGTACTGTATGTAAAATTATTAAACATGTATATAATTAATCCATATTAAATAAACGTGAATGCATTAAAATCATATATTAGCTATTAAGGCAACGATGAATTACAACTAATAATAAGCTGTACATATTAACAAAACAAGAGCAAAACAGCAAAGTTTGATTAGTAAGTACAATACATTAGTACAAATTAGCAAATTCAACAGAATAATCATTTATTTATGACAAAGTGACTGACTGGTAATTGAAATTCTTGTTGTAGTTTTCAGATGGCTTTCCTAACATTTATGTCTTTCGGAAAAAACATTGGCCGGCCCGCCGGAAACGTGGAGTGGATGGAAACATTACGAGAACTTTAACAACCGATCAGCGGGTATTATTAAAGTGATTTCGTTCAATGTCACGTAAAAACGATTGCTTACACTATTACTTATATACATAGCATCGATATTCACCCGTGGATCAGAATGCATGCATTCATTTAATCGTGAAAACAATGATTTAATAAGCGAAAACAGATAATTATATTTGTATAAGTATAAGGGATAAGCGCTTAAAGAAAAAAAGCGTTGCAATACCAAAGTTTTGTTTTACTTTTCATAATTTTATATTGCTATTATCGGTACCGGTTCTACCAGCTCGACAAGGGGTGAATACTAAGCCTTCATACTACGACCTTCAGTCATAATGAATGTGAACTTGCCATCAGTGCTCTTGTATTTAAGCCACAACTTTTTACAAAGCCCAGTTTATTCACTTGGGAACGCAGTCATAAACATGCGGTTGATTATAAGACTTTGCCACATACTATGTACTGAGTACATATGTACGGTTGAGTTTTTAGCGAATAATTTTGCACGCTGTACAGAATTAAATTTAGCGGGAATCCGTTATGCGCTATACAGATACGCTGGGCGGAGCAGCAATCAGCGAAAGTGCGCACGAAACGTGACTTCATCCACCGTGAAGCCGGCGAAGTGGACGTGAGTGGAACATCCAATGTGCTGCTGCATCAGGACCTCCTGGAAGCCGGCAGCAGTGCCGGAACCGGACGCCTGCCGGCTAACAAGCAATCACATGCGCAATCCGACACATCGCTCTTCAATGATCCCATGTGGTCCCACCAGTGGTACATGGTAATTGTACTTGGTGGCGTTGCTTTCATTAATTAAGTTATACCCCGTTCTTTCTTCCTCTAGTTATTTGCGTATGAAAGAACTCTGATAACCTGATAATTTATTTCATAATAAAACGTAATTGAACAATAAAATTTACAAATGTTTGTCGAATCGGGAAAAATTTATCACTTCTGTCTGTTCCGGCAGTGTTCGCTTTACGAGGAAAGCCCCTGTTAATTTCTCAGTTGTATACTCGAATGTCTTTTGAATCAAAAAAATAATTTAAAAGTTTTATTTTAAGTTAAATGATTTCGAAGCATATCGTATTAATACTTGTTCCAATCCATTCCTTTTCCTTCAGACCTATAATTACCTACCTTTGAATTTTTTTTCGCGCCATGTGTACAGATAGATTGCAATTGGCAAAAACAAAAATACAAGCAAAAAATTGGAAAATTTGAAGGGTTTCGCATTACACTGTTAGACTCTGCATTGCATACCGCTTTACGCCATTGAATACGACTTCCACTTTCATAATTATGTACTAAAGTAGTCGCTCAGGCTCCTGATTTGGCAAATGGTTAGCTACTGGGCCCTCGCACTACGGGTACGATATTCAGTGCCTTAGTAAACGAACCCATTTAGCAGTTTCTCGGACAGCTCTAATAACGAGCTAGCTTTGGAATAAGAATTTGCAATATTGCATTACCATGTACTGTATTTATTACAAGTTATTAATCACTAAATAATCGGTTATCTAGCAATATTTATGTAATTATGTTTAGTTAGACGAACTGGTACCCAGCGGGCGTGCCATGCGCTCCATGATTCCCTCGGACCCCAAAGTCAGCAGTCTCAACGTCTTCCCGGCATGGCAGTCGGGATACACCGGGCAGGACATTGTAGTAACAATTCTGGACGATGGTAATTATTATGATCCCGGCAAACGCGTATTTCTTGTTGCCAACAATGTGATTAACTGCTCCAACATTTTCCTGTAGGAGTGGAAACCAATCACACCGATCTGATATCGAATTATGTATGTACTTGGGCGGTACAATTACTTTTGCTTATACACTGCTCCATGAGATTACGAATTTGCAAATATTGCAAATTGCAGTTTACAAATATCTTCAAGTTTTCGCCCTGTATTACTCGTGACTTGTACCTAATGCGAACAAATTTCCGCTGATGTAATATATTACTGGTTGTCTTAACAATAAAATCTGGTAGGATCCAGATGCAAGCACAGACAT